AACAGGTCACAAAACAAGCCCTAAAAAACTTAAAAAGATTGAAATCATACCAAATCATCTTTTCCAAACACAGTGTTAGGAAAGTAGAGATCAACTAATATGAAGAAAGCTGAAAAATTCACAAATATGTAGAAATTAACACACTCCTGAACAACCAATAGATCAAAGAAGAAATTAAAAACTATCTTGAAACAAACGAAAATGGAAACACAAATACCAAAACAAATGACCAACAGGTATGTAAAAAGATGCCCAATCTCCAAGGAAATGTAATCACCAAGGAAATGTAAATCAAAACCACAATGAGAGGCACCTGGCTGGCTCAGCGGGAGAGCATGCAACTCTTGATCTCAGGGCTTCGAGTTTAAGCCCCACGTTGGGTGTGACGCCTACTTTAAAAAAAAAAGAAAAAAACTACAATGCGGTATCACTTCACACCTGGCTATTATCAAAAAGGTAAGAGATAAGTGTTGCCAAAAATGTGGAGAAAAGGGAATCCTTCTGCGCTGTCTACAGATGAATGAATAAAGATGTAGTACATACATACAATGGTGTACTATTCAGCCATAAGGAAGAAGGAAATCAGAAATCCTGTCATTTGTGACATGGATAGACCTTGTGGGAACTATGCCAAGGGAAACAAGTCAGACAAAGAAAGGCAAATACTGCGTGATATCACCTGTGTGTGGAAGTAAAAAAGCCAAATTCACAGAAACAGAAAGTAGAATGGAAGTTGCCAGGGGCTAGAGGGGAAATGGAGAGATATTAACCAAGGGTGCAAAGTTCCAGTTATAAGATGATTAACTTCTAGGGATCTAATATACAACATGGTGACTATAGTTGGCAATACTGTATGACATACTTGAAAGTTGCCAAGAGAGTAAATCTTAAATGTTCTCACTACATAAAAGAATTGGTAATTATGTGAGGTGACAAAGGTATTAACAATACTTTGACAGTCATATCGCAATATGTAAATGTATCAAATTAATATGTTGTATAACTACACACAGTGTTATATGTCAATTATATCTCAATAATACTGAAAAAAATACAACTACCAAATATGATCCAGCTTCTGGGTATATCTCCAAAGGAATTAAAATCAGTATGTTGAAGAGATATCTGTACTCTCATGTTCACTGTAGCATTATTCACAATAGCCAAGATACGGAAGGAACCTAAATGTCTACCAATGGACAAATTGATAAAGAAAATGTATGTATATACAATGGAATATTATTCAGCCTTTAAAAAGAAAGAAATTCTGCCATTTGCAACAACATAGATAAAACTTGGAGGACATAAATAAGCCAGACACAGAAGGACAAATGCTAAGTGACACCACTCATATGAGGAATCTACAATAGTCAAACTCATAGAAGGAGAGTTTAGAATGGTGATTGTCAGGGGCTGGGGGAAATGCGGAAGTACTATTCAAACGGTACAAAGTTTCAGTTATACAAAATGAGTAAGGCCTAGAGATCTACTATATCTCATAGTTCCAATTAATTTTACTATAGTGTATAATTAGAAAGTTGCCAAGAGGGTAGATCTTATGTTAAGTGCTCTTGTCACATACACAAAAGAATAATAATGAAATGATAATAATAATAAAAAGAATAAGAATAAATAAAGAGAGGAAAGGAAACTTTTAATTTGATAGACAGAGATTACAAGTAGTCAGAGAGGCAGGCAGGAGGGAGAGGAGGAAGCAGGTTCCCCGCTAAGCAGAGAGCCCGATACGGGGCTCGATCCCAGGACCCTGGGATCATGACCTGAGCCGAAGGCAGAGGCTCTAACCCACTGAGCCACTCAGGCGCCCCTAGAGGAAAGGAAACTTTTAGATGTGAATACTTTTATGGCATAACTTGTGGTGATGGGTCCATGGATATATAATTATCTTCCAACTGTATGTATCACACTGCATACATTAAATATGCATCGGCTTTTGTGTGTCAGTTATACCTCAATGAAGTGGTTTAAAAAAGCAATTTAAGACCTAAATTCAAAAGCTAAAACAATAACACCTTTAAAAGAAAACATAGGAGACTATCTTCATAATTTAGATGTAGGCAGTTTCCTTATACAGGAAGAAAATAGGAACCATAAGAGGAAAAAAAAATCCGATAAATTAGACTTTACAAAAATTTTAAAAAGTCTGTTCTTGAAAAGATACAGTTATGAAAATGAAAGACTGGAAGAAAACATTTATAAAACAGATCTCTGACAAAGGACTAGTAACCAAGATAATATAAAAAGCATCTACTTTCAATGCCACCAAAAAAGACTGAAAAAAATCTTTAAATGGCCAGATATTCTGAATAGACACTTCATAAAATAAATGAAAGGAAAATAATTATAATAAAAAATGCTGACCAAAATTAAGCATCAAGGAGATGCAAAATAAAAACTAAATTGCCACAGGATCAACTAAAATTATGAAAGACCACCACCAAATGGAGGCAAGGATGTGGAACTACAGGAACTCTCACAGTCTAGTGGGAGGAGTACAAAATGCTAAAACCACCTTGGGAAAATCTCTAGCGATTTCCTTTCTTTTTTTTTTAAGATTTTATTTATTTATTTGATGGGCACGGGGGAGAGAGAGAGAAAGAGAAAGCACATGCACAAGTCGGGGGCGCAGCAGAGGGAGAAGGAAAAGCAGGCTCTCCGCTGAGCTCGATCCCAGGACCCTGGGGATCATGGCCTGAGCCAAAGGCAGTCGCTTAATCAACTGAGCCACCCAGGCACCCCAAGCTCTAGCAGTTTCTAACAAAACTAATCACATATGTTCACCACATTACCTACTAATCCGAACCATGGGTACTTCCCAAGAGAAATGAGGACATATTTCCACACGAAGACTTATTCAAAAACGTGGTTTTCTTCAAAATAGACAAAAACTGGCAACAGCTCCAGTGTTATTAATGTGTATTAATAGAAGTGTGTATGAATAGAAGAACTGACAATGAAATTGCGACATACTCACCCAATGGAATACTATCCAGCAGTAAAAAGAAACGGATTACTGAAACATGCTGTATCAATGAATTTCAAAAATGTAATACTAAGTGAAATAAGCTTTACATAAAAGTTTATGTTACAGAACACCATTTATAGAGAGTTACAGAATAAATAAAACTATGGCATAACAAAGTAAGAACAGTGGTTGCCTCCGTGCACGTGGGGGCAGGAATTGACAAGGAAGGAGCATGAGGCAGCCTCGGAGGGTAGTGGTAGTGTTCTCTATCTCAATAGTAGGGCTTTGGGTTCCATAAGTACATGCATTTGTAAAAACTTAGCAAATGGCACACTTAAGATCTGTGCATTCACTATATGTAAAACATAACATCATCAGAGAAATCTGTAAACATACTGAGCACTAGTTAATGATCCACACGTTGCAACATTTAGGGGATGCATACAGAAGTCTGCAATTTATTGAAAAACATGTTTAAAATAAGGTAGACTGATGAACAGAGGGGTAGATATGTGATAAAACAAGCATAGTAAAATGTTAAAAGAGGTGGCTATAAAAGTATTTACCGTAGGATTCTTTCGCCTTTCTTGTATGCTTGAAAATGTCCCTAAAAAAATATCATGGCAAAGGGGGAATAATAAAAGAGAAATCAAAGAAGGAAGAAATAGCACTGAATGCTAAGGGAGAGGCACCAGGAAGGAAGGGAAGGAGGGAGAGAGGGAGGTAGTGAAAGGAATACGAAAAAAATACAGTAGTCCAAATCCAGTGAGAAAGGCCATTTCAGAGGAGGCAATGGCCAATTGTGTAGAATTCTCCTGAAAAGTCAAGTAACACCAAAATAGGCCCGTTGGATTTGGTTGCAGGAGCGGTGTGAATGGAGGAGAGTGAAGCCACACTGAAGTGGAGAGAGAAAAAGCTGATGGTGAGGAAAGAGAGTAAATGAAAACAACTCCTAAGCAACCTAGCCATGAAAGAGAAGAGAGGGGGCTGCAGTTGAAGAAGGATGTGAGGTCAAGATCACGGACAGTACTGGAGCACGTTTATGTGGATGGGAATGATGCAGGAGAGAATCAGTGGATGTGGTAGGTAGAACTGTGTCCCCCAATATGATACACGTATGTCCTAACCCTCAGCACCTGTAAATATGACCTCGTAGAGAAACAGGACCTTTGCGGATGTAATTAAAATGAGGTTACACTAAACTTGGGGAGGCCTTGATTCAATGACTGGTGTCCCTATAAGAAGAGGACACAATAAGAAAAGGAATTTGGACACAGAGAGACCCAGAGAGAATATACCATGTGACAGTAGAGACAGATATTGGAATGACACATCTGGAAGCTGAGGAACGTCTGGGATTGCCAGCCACAACCAGAAGGTGGGAAGAGAAAAAGGATTCTCCCCCAAAGCCTTCAGAGAGAGCTCATGGCTCTGCTGACACCTTGATTTTGGACTTCTAGTCTCCAGAGTTGTGAGAAGTGATTTCTGGTACTTTTAGCCACCAAGGTTGTAGTACTTCGTTATGGCAGTCCTGGAAAACTAACACAGGGGAGAGGAATGGGGAAGACAAAGAGGTGGTAAGGAGAGGGGGGATGTTCTTGCGAAGGTGACATGGAACCATTTGCCTGCAGGAGGGGGTGGGCCTTTGACAGTATCAGGGCTATACTCTCTTCCACCTAAGTAAGTAGACCATCATTCAGAGAGGACCTAAACAATCAAAGCCTTGTCCAGAAGCTTTCGGCAATGAAGAATGCTTCAGACAGCCTTTGTGACAGACTCTCTGTCCTAATCACTAATACACAATATGCAGGCGCACATTCAAGTTACTAGTCTTCCCCTAAACATACAAGAACCAACCCATGAAACTGAAGTGCAGCAATTCTCTGCCTTCCAAAAGAGGTTTGCCAACAAAGACACCAGTCTTACCAATATGGAATGGAACCAGGTGCTCGGCCAATGGTCCAAACAAAACCACCAGAAGAAAAGCCTGGTAATCCAATTTCGGGACGCTCCTTACCTTGAGCTGCTGCTGGAGTTCACTGTTCAGCCGGGCCAGCACTGCATTTGCCTCTTTATTTTTGCGGATAGCAGTCTGAATTGCCTTCTTCTGTTTGGAAGACTGTCTATAAAAAAGTACAAACAGTTCACCGAAATAGAACTCAGAGGTCCGGACCCTTGCGGGTCAGAACACCCTGACTCGTGAGAAGTGCTCAATGAGGGACTAATGCCACAGGTTCCAAAAAGAAAATCGTATATCCACAGGCAGGCAGGCACACACCAAACAAAACACATTTGTCGGGATGAATTATTTACACCTGAAGTAGTTCCCATTTTATAACTTGAAAGAAAAGCTGTGAATTGGACCTTTTCAAACTTTGCATTCCATTTATTCCAAGACGTTTTAATAAGTATTTCTTCCTGACAAACCACATTAACTAGAATGCCCTTTTCGTGTAAGCTTTAATGGCATTTAAAAGACCTGCAGGTGGCCCCTGTGGACAAGTCTGAAGGAAATGAATAGAAGAACATTCTCGTTAGGAAAAATCCTACAAAACTTGGCCGTCCTATATAACTCTCCTTCATTTCTTTATTATTAGGCATGACTGCTTGAGAGAGAGAGAGAGAGAGAGAGAGAGAGTGTGTGTGTGTGTGTGTGTGTGTGTGTGTGTACACGCTCATGCATGTGCATACACCAGCATACATCTGTGGCACTTGAGAAAATGTTTTAATAACATTATTCCCAAATTAAGTCAATAGTAAATTCACAGAACACGTCTAACTAGGGTGACCGTCTGCTCCACTTTGCCCATTACAATCTCTGCTTACACTGCATGACTGGCCCGAATTATTCTTAGAACCCTCTTTCTCCCCCAAAGCTGTCTACAGTTGGGATGATAAATCAACATGATGGTATAACCTACAGTCTCATATCCCACAGCAAAAAAACCTGAATTCTCAGAGCAAAAGGGCAATTTAAGTTCCCCTAGGAAAACAGACATATGTGCAGTCAGTGAGAGGTAGCTTCTACGCCATGCAACTTAACCGGAATGTCCAGTGACCACTGCGGAGATCTGATTAATATTCACTGAGCACATACACTATGCTACCCACTCTGCTAATCTGCAGAAGGCATACTCCCTTCCCCAAGAAGTTGAAAGATTAATTTCTTCATCCATAAAGAGGCAGGGAATAGGCTTTAAAATCTACTTTTAGAAAGATAAGGATTGGATTTCCAGTCTCAGGACAATGTGAAGTAGACATACTTCTCTCTACCCCACCAAGTAAAGTTAAAATCCTGGAGATAATACATAAGACAAACATAACATTACTCCAAAAAGTGGAGTGAGGAAGGCAAACCAGCCAGGGAACTCAGTACCCAGAGAAACAGATAGCAGTGAATTCTCTGGGTTTTATTTTTTGCTTCATATATCCCAGACTGGACGGTGGAAAAGTCAGCAATCCATAAACATCAATAAGGGCAGACAATAAAAAGTCTCCCCCCATCTAAATCCTGCTCTCTCTAGCCAAATGACTTGGAAAAGGGCAGGCTAGAAAGACATAAATTAGACACAATATCCCTCCGGGACACAGAGGCAAAATCTTTAACAAAATATTAGCAAATAGAATTTAGCAATGTATTAAAAACTTATACACCATGACCAAGAGAGCTTTATTCCTGAGATGCAAGGCTGATTCAATAATCAAAAGTCAATCAGTGTAATCTACCATCCTAACAGGTAAAAGAAAAAAAAATCACATAACTGTATCAACTGATATAGAAAAATCACCTGATGAAACTCAATACCCATTCATGATAAAAAAAAATTCTCAGAAAACTATGAATAGAGGCCCACTTGTTCAACTTGATGAAGAACTTCTACAAAAAAAAAAAAAAAAACTACAGCTGACATCATACATAATGAAAAACTGAATGATTTCCCTCTGAGACGAGGAACAAAGCAAGGATTTCTATTTTCATTACTGTTTTCAACACAGTGCTAGAAGTCCTAGCCAACACAGCAATGCAAGAAAAGGAAATAAAAGGCACACATATTGAAAAGAACAAAACTGTCCCCATCTGCAGATGACATGATGGCCTACAAGGGAAACTCCAAGGAATCTATAAAAAAAATTCTCTGAACTAATAAATGATTTCAGCAAGAATAGGAATGAGTTTGGAGGAGAGAAGATTAATGTACAAAAATCAAAAGAATGGGGGTGCCTAGGTGACTCAGTTAAGCATCCGACTCTTGATTTCAGCTCAGGTCATGATATCTGCGTTGTGGGATCAAGCCCTGTGTCAGGCTCTGCACTCAGCGTAGAGTCTGCTTGTCCCTCTTCCTCTGCTCCTCCCTCTCAAATAAATAATTTTTTTTTAAATCAATAGGGGCGCCTGGGCGGCTCACTGGGTTAAAGTCTCTGCCTTTAGCTCAGGTCATGATCCCAGGGTCCTGGGATCGAGCCCCCCATCAGACTCCCTGCTCAGCAGGGAGCCTGCTTCCTCCTCTCTCTCTCTGCCTGCCTCTCTGCCTGTGATCTCTGTCTGTCAAATAAATAAATAAAATCTTTTTAAAAAAAACAAGTATTTTTAAAAAATCAATAGAATTTTGATACACTAACACTGAATACTTGGGGAAAAATAAAAAATACAGTATCATTTACAAAGCTTCAAACTGAAGTTCTTAGATATATCAAAACATACACAAGATTTACATGCTGAAAACTATACAACAGTAATGAAAAAGAGTCAAAATAAATAAATATCATGTTCATGGATTGAATGACTCAACATAGTAAAGATGTCAACTCTCCTCAGACTGACATAAAGGTTTAACACAATTCTTTTTTTCTAATTTTTAAAGATTATTTATTTATTTGAGAGAGAAAGAGACATGCAAGAGAGTACAAGCCAGAGTGGGGTGCAGAGGGAGAGGGAGAAGCAGGCTCCCCACGGAGCAGGGAGCCAGACGCGGGACTCGTTCCCAGGACCCTGGGATCATGACCTGAGCTGAAAGCAGACAATTAACTGACTGAGCCACCCAGATGCCCCAAAGGTTTAGCACAATTTGTATCAACATCTCAGCAAGATTTTTTTGTAGATCAAGACAAAACTGTTCTAAAATTTAAATGGAAAGTCGGAGGAATTAGAATATCTAAAACAATTCTGAAAAATCATAATAACAAAAAAAAAAATCATAATAACAGTGGGAGAGATAGAAGATATTTTATTATATAGTTATAGTAATCAAGTAACTAAGTAATGAAGGCAGTAATCAAGACCGGGTGGTATTGGCAGAGGGAAAAACACATCAATCAGTGGAACAGAATAGAGAACCCAGAAACATACTCACACTAGTACAGACAACTCACTTTTGACAGAGGTGCAAAAGCAAGTCAATGGAGGAAGAATAGCTTTTTTTTTGTCTTTAAGATTTATTTATTTATTTTTAGAGAGACAGCATGCCTGACTGGGGGAGGGGCAGAGGGAGAGAATCTTTCAAGCAGCCCTAACCCCACCGCTGATCGCGGAGTGGGGAGCCTGATGCAGGGCTCAATCCCACAGCTCATGAGATCATGACCAGATCCAAAACCAAGAGTTGGACATCCAACCAAGCCACCCAGGTGCCCCAAGAATAACCTTTTCAACCAACAGCACTGAAGCAATTCAATATCCATAGGCCAAGAACACTGATGCAAACCTATCTTACATAAAATGATACAAAATGAATCAAGCAACTTGAATATAAAATGCAAAATTATAAAACTTTTAGGAGAAAACATAAGAGAAAATCTTCAAGACCTAGGGCTTGTTCATGAAGAGTTTTTAGATGTAACAATAAAAGCACAATCCATAAAAGATTAAAAATCAGTAAGTTGGACTTCTTCAAAATTTTAAAAACTTTTGTATTGCAAATGAGTGTTAAGAGGATGAAATGACAGGCTCCAGACTAAGAGAAAATATTTGCAAACCACATTCCTGACAATTGATAGGCATTTAAAATATATAAAAAGAACTCTCAAAATCTCAACAGCAAAAAACCAATTCAATTAGAAAACGGGCAAAGGACATGAAGAGACATGTTACCAAAGAGGAGACATGATGGCAAATAACACATGAAAGGACACTCAACGTTATTAGCCATTAGGGAAATGCAAATTAAGACCACAAAAGGATAGAACTACCCACCTATTTGAACAGCTAAAATTAAAAAACCAGTGACAATACCAAATGCTGGTGGGGATGTGGAGAAACTACATCTCTCATACATTGCTGGTGGAAATGTAAAATGGTGCAGCCATTCTGGAAAACAAATTGGCACTTTTTTTTTTTTTGGCAGTTTTTTTTTTTAAATTAAACATACACTTGGGGCACCAGGTGGCTTGGTCAATTGGGCGTCTGCCTTCAGCTATAGTCATGATCCCAGGGTCGTGGGATCAAGCCCTACATGGGCTCCCTACTCAGTGGGGAGTCTGCTTCTCCCTCTCCCTCTCCCACTACCCCTTCTCCCAACTTACGTACTTGCTCATTCTCTCTCTCTCTCACTTTCAATTAAGTAAAAATCTTAAAACAAAACCAAAAACTAAACATACACTCGGCACACAACCCAGCAATCATACCCTTGACCATTTTTTTTTTTTTACTCCTAAGGCTTTTATTAGAATGCCTTGCAAACTTTACATTTTTACTAACATCACATCAAGTGAAAAAGATAATTTAATTAGTACTGTATCTTTTTATTTTCTAAAATTTGATTATAAGTAACACACAATGTTACATTAGTTTTAGGTGTACAGTACAGTGATTCAACATCTCTTTAACTTGGCCATTTACACCAGAGAAATGAAAATTTGTGCACACACAAGAACCTACACACAAGATGCTCACAGTAACTTTGCTTATGATCTCTAGCAACTAGGCACAACCAAAATGTCTCTCAACAAGCGAATGGCTCAAGAGACTGCGGCACAGCCATTCCACAGAATAGCTCTTAGCAGTGCTCACTGAGATATGTAACTTAGATGTCAAGAGACTGTGCCAAGTGAAAAAAAGCTAAACTCAGAAGGGCACATGCTGTGTGATTTTATTTATATAACATTCTCAAAATGAAAAAATTCTAGAGAT